CCCCTTAGAAAGTATTTCAGACTATCTTCATTATTCTGTATCAGCCTCCATTCAGTCCTGTGCAACTTACTCTCAGAAGATGACCCACTTCTTACAAAAATGAAGCCATCAATTTTGAAACCTCTTACTTTCTTCCATTGCTACACCATATCCATTCATATCACTTGTCCTCTCAGACATGTGCAATCCTTTTTGCCTGTGGTCATGGTTTCAGCCTTCATGCAAATGGCTACTTATCAGCTTAGATAGCACCTATTTTACAAAAATTGCTCTAATACTTCAGTATGAATTGGGACTCTATTAATCAGCAGACACCCAATTCTTATCATATTGGCTTAAATTTAAATGTTTTTTCTGTTTTGAACTTTTTGAAATAATGGTGAACTAGATACTCTGCTGTGGGACTATTCCTAAAGGACTACTTTTTGGAATGCTATTTAAGATGTGTCTTTTTACAAAGGTTCCCCTCCCATTTTTAGCCTCAGACCAATTAGAAAACTTGGTTTTATTTAGATATTAAATGGCTAAATTAACTTTTTAATTTGAAATTATAAGAGCCTTTTCTTTTTTAATGAGTAATTAAAATTCGTCATAACCAATTCTTTTAACATTTAATTTTATAGCATACTTATCCCTTTTTTAGGCAGAACTAGAATGATTGCAGTTTGCATGCCAATTATACATACATTATAGCTATTATTGAAAGTTTTGAACTTAACCTATTTCAAGAAACTGGCCCCAAATAAAATAATAGATTTCTAACCATCTGTGTGGACAGTTCACGTGCTGCAGAACAAATTGTAGTAATATAATTTTACAGATAGGTGGCAGTCTGGTCAAAGAGTAAAACTTTTCCTGTTCTCATGAAAAGCAGATAAGTATAATATGGCAGGAACACATAATTTAAGTCATTGCATTTCCCCTGACAGACATTCTTTGTCTTTTGTTTGTAGTTATATAAAACTAACACTAGTTTCTGGCAAGAAAAAAGGTTACTATAAAAGTGAGCCCTGCTTTTCTAGTTGGCCTGTACAGTGGTAGATTTAAAAATCATATCCATTCTTTACACAAAATCTTGATCTTTGTTGATAGTTCACTAGAATCATGGTGTAGAACCAGTTGTGTTTGTGTGGACCAGTGATGATGTTAGAAATTGGGGGGGATATATTTTACTTTGTGAGTATTCAAAGAAGAGTGAAACATAGTTCTTCATTATTTATTTAGATCCAGATTATTTTTTCAAAAAATTACTTAACGCTATTTATGACAATATGTTGCACTAATTGTTGTCCCAGGAATATTACTTCTATTTTATAGCATTTAGTATGTCTATTTATTAGATATTCATTAAGCATTTGTTCTGTTCAAGGCAATGTGATAGATACAAGTCAATGACCAGATTCCTTCCCTCAAGAAGCATATAACCTGATTTGAAAAATAGAATATGTATGCATTATTAATTATGTACAGCATGTAATAAGGTCCTAGGAGTAACTAAGAACTTAATTAAGATTAATGATTAGAATAATAAATATTAGTAATAAGAATGAGGCAAAGGGAAAATGAAAAGAAAGCAAGATGGAGTTGGTAGTGAGGTTAGTATATAAAACATAACTTGCTGTCATACACATGCTTGATAGAGGGGACTAGCACTTTGTAGATTATGTGAGTGGTGAGACTATTTTGTACATACATGTATAAAAATGTATGCTGTCATGTTCTATACACTCGATATACATGGGCCACTAATTTGGCTCCATACTTGCATGAAGAGGGGGAAATAGTTTGTAAAGTTAAAACAAACAAGAAAAATAACCAAAATTTTCTCCTGGTTATTCTTTCATAGAAGGGTGGTTAATACAAGAATATATAATCAACAACATCCTCATATTGAAGGCAGTGATAAGCTTATATTTCATAGGAATATTTAGATCCCTTGCAGAGGACAGGGATATTGAAGTAAAGCAGAATTCAATAACAGCAATCTTGTGTCAAGTCAATTAGAGAATAAAAACAACTTTTTTTTATTTCTATTGGTATGTATATGACACTTTCATTTACTTACAAAATATATGTCACTGATACCAGCGACAGACTTATCTAAATATTGATAATGTTTCTTCTCCTTTTAGATTCTGAAAAAGAGTTTCACATCCTTCCTCACCGGGTTTTTGTCCCCATTCCGGGATCCACGGTAATGTTATGTGATTATAAATTTGGTGATGAGTCAGCTGAAGAAATCAGAGACCATTTTATAGAGATGTTAGATCATAGGATTCAAATAGAAGATTTGGAAATTGCAGAGGAAATAAACACAGGTAATTCCATGATGTTATTTAAGAATCTGATTAGACTACTGCTAAGATTACCTATGAGACATTAGTTTAATATCATGTCTTTTCCTTAAAGCTAGTTCTGTTTGATACTTCCGAGGCATTTAAAAAGGTGTCTAATTTCTGCATATATAAACATGCAGTCAGTTTTCCTGGAAAATTGTACCAACATTTAAGATACTTAAGGTTTTTCTAAGCCTAGCAAGTAGATCTGAAGACAAGAGTAGCCTTAAGTAGGTGGGAATATATGGTTTTGAGGTATTTCTTTTATTGTAAGAGAAGTTTTCTCAAAACCCATTATTTTGATTATTTGGTTAAACATGATGTCACAAAGTTTTTAAAAATACTTTATTAAATGTCTTCTCCATACTATTTGCCTTTATTTTTTTTAACCCCCTTTATATAATTGGATATTAATCTGAAATAGGCAGTTCCAAAAATTATTTTTATGGAGTATAGATTTGCCAAACTATCTTAATTGTCTGACACATTTTCTCCTACCCATCATTTTCACATTTGACCTTACATTTTGGAAGGCTATTTTTTTGTTTTGTTTGGCTTTGCTTCATTTTTGTTTTTGTTTTTGTTTCTAGTAAAAGTAGGCTATGAAAACATGTCAATAAATGTGTACAGGCATGTATGACAGACTTCCTGAAACATTAAAAAATATGTCATAAAAGTAGTTATTTGCAAATATCAATGAATATTGCATACGTAGTCATTTATCAGTCTTGAAATTTCCAATATACTAATAAAGTCTTTAGGTTACTTTTGAATATGGATGTTTATGAAATTAGAATATAGCAATTTTTAAGTTCTTTTTCTAATTCTAATTTTTTAGTTGTTCCTCTGTTGCTTAACTAATTCCCAACCCTCACCAAGTAGAGTGTTTGATTCAGAGTTCTCTTGTTAATATGATGTCAAGTAAGTGTGTGTTTGGTGAATTACAAATCTGTCAGTAAAGTCTCAAGTTCGTTGGAGACTACCAGGTTTGATTTTTAACAGCTCCAGGTTAGTATTAATCATGATGTGGAATAGTAAGTTTGTTTTAAAGGAAAACAACAACACTCCAAATTGCTCGGTACCTGATGTTAAAGCAGTAGCTGTGTTTCAATAATTTGAGAACTAATATTTTCTAATAGAGATTTTGAAAGTAGACTAGTTGAAAAAATAATTGCTACTTTTCAAAATATGTTTTCCCATATTAGTGACTGTGATATCTCTGCAAACCAAACATAGAATCGTGAGGGTAGAGGTTTTTATTGTTTTTTTTTTTACTTCTTTCACTAATGCCTACCAATAATTCTTGACCCATTCTGTTGTTGATGTCTGAATGCACTTTATGTGGGATCATTAGAGTTGTCCTGGTTCATCCTCTGTCTTATAATACTGAATCTATATTCCTTGCAGATGGGTGGTTAGACTCTATTCTTCCTTATTCCTAATACTGGTCTGCCTTCCTGTAATCTATACTTTGTTCAGTAATCTGCAGCAATAAAACATGAGTACTACTTTGGGGGGTCCACGCTTTAAATTTGAGGGTAACTGTTATGTTCTAAATACTTTAAAGCCAGATATTCTCATATACCTTTAACTAATCTCTTTATTGTAGTTTTCAGACATCATTTTATCTTGCCACTTTGGTTGCCTTTCTCTAGATTAGGAATTTTTAACCTGTGGTGTCCAAAACCCTTGGGGTCATAGATAGCTTTCGGGAGATCCACAAATTACTTGAAAGTAATTGTATAGTTTTTTCTGGGGAAGAGATCTGTAGCTTTCAAGGGGTTGGTGACTTAAGAAAAATTAAAAATGACTTCTTTAGTCCTAGCCGGCTTGGCTCAGTGGATAGAGCGTCGGCCAGTGGACTGAAGGGTCCCAGGTTTGATTCCAGTCAAGGACACATGCCCAGGTTGTGGGCTCCATCCTCAGTAGAGGGCATGCAGGAGGCAGCTGGTCAGTGATTCTCTCTCATCATTGATGTTTCTGTCTCTCCCTTCCTCTCTGAAATCAATAAAAATATATTAAAAAGAAAAAAAAGTCTACTAACACATAAAAATAAATAAAAATGATTTCTTTAAATATACTCTGACTAGAGGCTCGGTGCACAAGATTCGTGCACTCGGGGGAGGGGGAGGTTCCTCAGCCCGGCCTGCGCCCTCTTGCCTTCAGGGAGCCCTCGGGAGATGTCCGACTGATGGCTTAGGGGGCCTAAGTCGTCACTAGGACATCCTTAGCGCTGCCACAGAGGTGGGAGAGGCTCCCGCCACTGCTGCTGCTCTCGCCAGCTGTGAGCCCGGCTTCTGGGCTTCTGGCTGAGCGGCATTCCCCCTGTGGGAATGCACTGACCACCAGGGGGCAGCTCCTGCATTGAGCGTCTGCCCCCTGGTGGTCAGTGCGCATCATAGTGACTGGCCGCTCCACCATTCGGTTGATTTGCATATTACTCTTTTATTATATAGGATTTGCCTTCCTTGAAATATATTACCCTGAATTAAACCTAATACTCTAATAACAACATTAGCTATTTATATAGAACCTCTTACATTCCAGACACTGTTTTAAGAGCCTTACAAATATGAAATCATTTAATCCTTGCAACAACCCTATGATGCAGATTATTATTAGCCCCATTTTCCATGATGACTTTTCTCTCATTTTCCAGATGAGAGACTTCAGGCTCAGAAAGGTCAAATAACTTAGTCAGGTTACATACCTACTAATGGTGAAGCTTAAACTTAAGCAGTTTGATTCTAGAATCTGTGTGTTTTTTTCTAACAATTTTGTTTTACTACCTTTCCATGGGACCTAACCAATACAGACTATAAGACTACAGTCTTATTTATTTACTACATTTATTTACTACATAACTAGCATTATATGGCTTTAAAATAATGATTTCTGAATTATAATGAAAAATATTAATATTAAAGTAGGAAAGTATTTTTATAGTGTGCATAGATTTTCCTAAATATTTTAAATTAATCTTTAGCACAAGCACTCTACCTGTAAGGGATTCAGGGAAAACTTCTCAGAGCAGGTAACATTTGAGTTCATTTGGAAGGATGAATACAATAAAAGAAACTCTAGGCTTTTTAGGAAATGAACATTGATAGGAGTTGTATTGTAGCCAAGAATATTACTTTTCTAGAATTATATTGGTTTTGCTTCATCAAATATTTAAATGAGAAGGAATGATTTAGTAATTAGTGTATTTTTAATAATGAAATGAGACATTTCCAAATTATGAGGTAGGGTGAAAACAAACCTTGTAATAGAAAAATTAAGTGCTTTTACATAAATATCCTATTGGCTATTTAGTCATTCCTTATTCATTCATTTACTTATTAATTTACTCAAAAATATTAGATGCATAATTTTTCCAAGATAGTTCTTTAGCTTAGTCCAGGTGTGCCACTTGCAGCTGTATAACCTTAAACAAGTACCCTCTGAACCTCAGATTCTCTTGGGGTTGGTATGAGAATTTAGTAAAAATGTTAGGTGAAATACTTTCTAAACATAAAGGCAGCATGATAATAAGTAGCATTATAAGGCTTTAAAATAATGATTTCTGGATTATAATGAAAAATATTAATATTAAAGTAGGAAAGTATTTTTATAGTGTGCATAGATTTTCCTAAATATTTTAAATTAATCTTTTTATATATAATAAACCATAAAAAGTAGAGTTCAAATATTTAAATTTAAAAATTGAAGTCAATTGCTATATAGTTAGCATTAAACTTATAAGTATCTAGCTTGATTATTATTTATTTCTGTTCTATAATATAGCTGCCAAGTAGTTGCTATGTTTAAAATACATATTTGCCAAATAAATATCTTAAAATAACATAGTTTTAAATGACTTAAGGGATGAAGAACAATTTGTTTGTCAAAATGACTCACTTAAGGTGAGGGATAACTATGGCTTTAAAATTACTTAAATGCATTAGTCACCTCCTAGTAGATATTAACTTAATAATTCAGATGTACTTTATCCACAATATCAGCTAAAATTGGGAGACACACCTTTAAAATTGGATGAAACTCATTTTACTAATTCTGTCTTGCTATCTGAACTGAAATTAATTTTTGCTGTTTCATTAAATGTTGCTAATTTAATTATGAGGAAAAAGTAATACAGAAAATGTAATTTTTGGCTAAATCACTGACTATAGTGAAACCTCATTAATTTAGGATTCAGAGATGGAGAAGAAGACAACTAACCAAAGGAGTTCAAGTCCTAATGTTTCATTTTAAGCTTCTAAATAGTCCTGCCCACCTATTAACAACTTGGCGTGAAATGGAACACATTGACAATTAGCATGTATTCAACATGGCCCTTGTTGTCTCTTTGGTTAACAGTTGCTCAAGAAAGTTGTTTTCTTACATGATTTGTCTGAAGTTAAGTTACCTGGCTTTAAGGAATAGTTACAATCTAATTTCTTATTGAACATATGTCATTTGCATTTAAATTAAAGTATTGGTAAAATAACATAGTGCCTGAGATTTGAATTAAAAGCCTACAGACCCTCACAAAAAGTAAATTGTTATGACAGGGCTTTATTTGTTCTTGAAAAGTGCTCTGTTTCAGTAAACTTATCTTGAATTTGTATCAAGTCACAGGATTTTGACCGATTTAAAAATGGAAATAATAGAGCAATGGAATGTCTTTTTTTTTTATAGAAGTATATTATTTGTGCAGCATGATCTTCACATGTAACAATTCAATATTAAATGTATCATATATCATGACAAATAGAACCATTTTTGTGCTCTTTATGTACAAGTGCTTACATTTAAAAAAAAAATTCCTTTAGCAAATAGGTATAATTCATGCTTTATCCAGTATTTTTGTTTGTTACCTGATACAAAGATATATGGCCCAAAGAAAAAGTTTTTTTACCAGTGATATTTGCTGATAGAAAAGCCAAAGTTTGTGTGTGCGTGTGTTTTAACATGAATAAAATTATGTTATCCATTCCATTTTTTAAATTGAATTTATTGGGGTGACACTGGTCAACAAAATTATACAGATTTCAGGTGCACAGTTCTACAACACATCCTCTGTACACTGTATTGTGTGTTCACCCCCCCCCCCAAGTCAAGTCTCTGTCAATCTCACCTTTACCCACCTCCACCTTTCTCCATCCCCCCCCCCCCGCCCCCAGTGCTAAAGGGTAAAGGGGAGGAAGGTGGAGGTGGGTAAAGGAGAGATTGACAGAGATTCAATTTTTGTCAGATAAAGTTAAGGGACATTGGGAGCTGGTAGGCTAATGTTGTCTAGAACTAAGGTGTTATGGCCCTTTAGCATACAAGAAGCTGTAGAAATAGACTGAATAGTTTTAGAGACAGTTCATAATAAGAATTTGTTTGCCTTTGTGACAACTTGGTAATGGAGTAGGAAAAAAAGAAAAATATCTTTGTTTTTAAAGTTCTTTAGTTATATGTTAAGAGGATATAAATAGAATGAGACTTCCCTTGATTCTAATTGAGGTAGCTACTAAGGATTATTTCCAAAAATGACAGTAAATTTTTCTTCATGGGAAATTGATGAGAACTAGGCATTTTTCCCTTTTTCTTTCATCCTTTTTGGTACGCTAAGTATCTATTTCAATAGGTTTATGTGCTAGTATATGGGGATACACTCGTTTATAAGGACATTTTAAATCCATGTACGAGGCTACTTTACTTGGAATTTAAACAGTAGTGTTTACTGTCTCTCACCGTGGTCCTCTTCTTTGTAAATAAAAGGATCAACATGAAGTAGTTGCTTTCAGACATAGTTCCCCAGAGTTCTATAGGCCTGAACTCCACTGCCACCTGAGAGGAAGAAGGGAGTCTGGCTCCAGGAGCCACCCATCCCTACTTCAACCAGAGTAATGCTACTTTCACCTGTTGTACATGCTTGGATTTTATGTCAGATTCTTTAGCACTAGGGGGTTTAAAACCACTGCTCTATATGATCTCTAAGAATGTTTTCTTTTCAATTACTTTTAGTCAGTGTTAAATAAATTCAGCTAAGCAAATCTACAAAAATTATTCTCACCCATAATTAAGTAGAAAAAAACCTCGTATCTGAATCCTCAATCTGCTGCCCATGACCTCAAATATGCACTAACTTCCCAGGTTTTATATTTCATCTGTAAAATGAGATATCGTGCTTGCCTTGCTTAACAATTTTTTTTAATGGTCAGATTTAGTGTCATATTTTGCTTATATATTTCAAATTTCAGGTTAGGTCAAGAGTCAGGACAACTTTTCTGTATGGGTTCAAATAGTTACTATTTTAGGCTTTATGGAACACATAAGGTCTGGTCAACCCCTGCAAGTTTGGCCCATGGGCAGCAGTTTGCTGATCCCATCTTTAGTACTAATATCTAATTATTTGAAATTATTAATTGCCAAAACCACAATAGGATTCATTATTATTATCCTCTTGCAGCTTTTCTGAGTTCCTCTATGAATTCTGAAGCTCCATTGGACAATAGAGATGATGAACAGCCAAAAGAACCAATGCAAACTTCAGTAGTATTGAAAATTCGGCAAAACATGGGTATTTTATTTCTTTTATAACATTGAAAAAGATGGTATTTTGGATTTCCGTTTTCTTGTTACTTTAAAATTACTGGATTTTATTTTGCTTAAAGGTACTAGATTAAGCCAGTATTTATTGAGAATTGTGGAACGTGCTAAGACCTGGAGATGGAAAGATGTACAAATGATGCATTATCCCAAGGGCCCTCAAAGATTACTCTTCCTACTAATTTTATTGGTGCTTTTAGAAGAAAAGCATGTTGACTTTGGGGAATTGATTAGTATAGTAGGACCAATACTTTCCAAATTGGTTCTCCCAGGATTGTTACTGCAGATTCGATATCTGTTATGAAAAAAAGTCAAATTTGAGACTGAAATTTATAATGCACTTAAGTATTTAAAAGATTCCATGATAGCGTGGCAGTCATTTTCACATTTTTCAGACTTATTGATCAAAGAACATGTACACTCTTTCATGGAAAGTATTAAGGTTTTTGACAGAGAGCCAGACTTTTGTTTTTCTTGTCACTTATTTATTAGATAAACTTAAGTTAATTTTATAAATTTTTTATACGTGTGTGTGTGTGTGTGTGTGTGTGTGTTTCTCTAGTCTGGTTTTTTGTTTGTTTGTTTTTTAACTTAATAATCAGGGGGCAAAAATGAGTTACTAGTTCTTAGATTTTAGAATGGTGATCTGAGTTTCTGTAGTTTTCAATAGCTGTTCAAGTGACTGCATTTAATGATTGAGAACCACTGCACATTAGAGCTGTCTTTTTGGTTTAAGCTTAATTGCATGAGACAACTGGAATTTCAATATAGATAGGACCCTTTTAAAGTATGTGTTAGTTTTTCTCTTAGATGTGTGTGAGTGCATACATGTGTAAGAAAGACACTATTATTTGTTGTTTAAGGTTTCGTTAAAGTGATGAAGTACACGATTACCAGTCTAACCTTTGCAGTCTATTTTTTAAAAACTTATTGCTGTATTTCCTCTAAGACTGTCGGCTTTAGGACATGTCTATTTGTGTGTAAGAATATGTATTTGTGTGTGTGCTGTTGTTGTTTAGGCCCATCAATTACCTACATTTCAGAGGCTAGAATCAAGTAAACCTTTCTTTCGCTCATTCCATTTCCATTTGTTTTGTGTTTGTTTACTTTTAGGTATGATTGCAGCATTTGCAGTTGCAGTCCTTGCTGTGGGTATCTTCTTTCACTACTTCAGTGATTAGGGTGAAGCACAAAGAGCTTCCTGATCATCTGCAGAACATTGACCAACAATTATGAATAATAAAAGATGCAAACAAGCCTTCTGCATTTAAGACAACAGCAGCCAGGCCTGCTGCCAAACTCCTATTAGGTGTGTTTCTGACAAATGAAATCACCAGCTGCCTTGTTTAGCCCTGCAATAAAATTATTTATCTAGATGGAAGCTTCATGTAACAAATCATTATTATTTATTTTTAAATGTTCAAACTGATGGTTTATTTTCACAGATTTTAGTCCTCTTGATCTGGATCACATATTCATCAGGACATTGAGAATTTGAATAGTCAGGGTTGGCTGAATATCTTAGTAATAGAACAACAGGAGAAATTTCTACAAAGTGGGGCAACAACCTATTGGGTAAGTTCATACTGTAGGACCTTTCTAATGTTTACCCAGTTCCAAAATATTGACCAAGTTCTGATCAAGAAGTAGGAAACCTTTCCGGATTTGAATCAGTAAAGATTGCCATAAATCATGTGCTTTCTCATGTTTGTGTATCATAATTGTTTCACTATATTAAATAAGATTTTTTCTTCCAGCAGTACATTAGACTAGGTACTCTAAAACACCTAGATCCTGAATAAAAATATACCTTTGAATGCATTAATACACTCAAGGAAAGTAGGGGAGATCTCCAAAAACCATACCTTTATTTTTCTTTCGCCACAAAAATGAATACATTTTGAGTTGGAAATCGTAAATACTGTATTAAGCATATGGGTGGGCTGTGGTTGCTCAGATGGCAGATACCAATTGCAGCACTGCCTTAGGCATTTTGCCTCAGACCAGAAACAAGGAGAGTAATCTGAATCTGAGATGCTACCCTAGCCAGGACAGTTGAAGTGGTCCTCAATTTGTAGTCCCCTATAACGCCTGACAGCAGCAAGATAGAGGCTGAAAATCCTCATAGATTAAGATAAATCAATGTTATTTCATGACTAGAGATCACCAGTCACAAGTTGAAACTAACTAACATAAGAAAGAACCTATAGAAATAACCACCTTCAGATTACATTCTCTAGAAATGAGAAATGTTACTTGAAATTAAAAAAAAAATCCTTGGAAATATTGAATGTCATATTAGACTCATCTGAAAAGACATTGAATAAACTGAAAGCTAAATCTAAAAAATGACCCAATGTACGGCAAGGAGAAATGAGCTGCTGGAAGATCTAAATACTAAGAGGTATGGAAGGAATATTATGAAGACTAAAAGTACTAGGGGAGGAAAGAATGGAGAGGATGGAGGAGTGGCAATATTTGAAGAAATAACAATTTTCTACATTTGTTGGAAAACATGAATTCATAAATTCAGGAAACACAATATATATCCCAAGCATATATAGATGAAATTCATACCTAACCCCAATGAATGTAACTGCTAGATACCAAACAAAATTTTAAAAGCAATCAAAGTGAGGAAAGGATCAAGGAAGATGAGACAAATACTGAGTAGGCTTCTTGATGGCAACAATGTATATACCCAAAAGATGGTAAAATAACACCTTCAAAATTCTAAAACAAACTAATCAACTTAGAATTTGAGCCAAGCAAGACTGAAAGACATGTTCAGACATGACCAGAAAGACATGTTCAGATGAAAAACATTTTGCCATCAATAGACCATTAAAGAGACTGCAAAAGCATGATCTCAAGAAGGAAAAGGATTCCAAAAAGGTGATTGGAAATTGAAGAGCTAGTGAGCAAATAAAATAATAAACATGGAAATCAAGTGTTGTTTATAGAAAACAATTGTAATGAAAGAAGTGTTTATAAGAAGTAAAGTTGTAAACAAATGTAAATATTTTATGCAACATTAATGTGTACTTTTAAAATAGGATATAATTGAAAAAGGACAATGGCTTATGAGAGGAGGGTAATTAGGATTAAGGTATTCTGAGGTTCTTTTATTCAGAAAATAGGTAAGATATTGTTTAACTTTAAAATTGTTAAATATATATGGTAAAATGTTCAAGTATAACTGCTAAGAAATAGATATGGGATGAATCATTGTAGAGGAAAATAAGTTTAAATATGGAATAGGAAGTACAAAAAAGGGGAAGAAATTATGGGTGGGAAGAAGAACAAAAGTAGATAATAAGACATCAAATAATTAAAATAAATATGAATGGACTAAAATAAATTAGCCAACAGGTTGATTTTTAAAAATTTTGCTGGGTTAAAAAAACAAACATTAGGCAAATAGCAAAAGAGAATACGTGTAGTTTTAGTGATGTTAAAATTAGATTTTATGATGTGTAAAGATGGAGAACGTTACTAAATGGAAAAGGATAAATTCACTAGGAATATATAACAATTTTAAATTTGTATTTCCTCTATAAAATGACCTCAAAATGTATGAACTAGAGGGCTAAATCAACAAATTGAACAACATAATGGGAGATTTTAATAGCTCTTAATTATAGATAAATCAGGCAGATTGAAAAAATTAGTGAATATAGATTTGAATTTAATTTTCACTATTGAGTCAGTGAACATATTTAGAATAATCAACAGAGAATATTCTTCTTAATCATTGTATATCAGCAAAAAATGACCATGTGCTAGACATGAAATAAGTTATAGTAAATTTCAAAAAGTTAATATTAAATGGATAATCAGAAATAAGTTAGAGGTCAGTAATAAAAGTTAATTCTTAAAAATCTTATATTTACAAGTTTAATAAAACTTTACAGATGAAAGAAGAAAACAAACTTAGAATCTATAAGTACTACATTTGGAAAATTGGGCGGTGCAGCAGAAACTGCACTTTGAGGGACATGGTTTTAAATTAAGGGACAAGACTGAGTGTGTAACTTAAGGAAAAGAACAACAGAATAAATAATGTAGAAGCAAGGAGACATAGGCAATGGAAGAAATGAATGAGTTTGAAAACAAAATCACAATGCCAGAGTTTTCATGACAAAATAAAATTTTGAACAAGAGGAAAACAGGACACAAGTAAACAACATAATGATTGAAAAAGGATATAATAAAGTACCTATAGATATAGTAAAGATGAAAATGATAAGAGACTACCAGGAGCATCTTTATTTAAAAACTTAGACAAAATAGACCATGGTCTAGGAAAATGCAGGTTCAAAGAACAGATAAAGGAATACTCCAGCTCATTTTATGAGGTCAGTATAACTATTATTGTACTGGAATCAGACCCATTCAGTAGGAGAAAATAAAGTTCCAGATGAATAGCACTTACGAACATAGATAAGTCAAAATACTAAAGTGAATTCAGCATTATGTAAAAAAGGATAATGATTAAATTATATACATAAAAAATCAGGGACACACAACAATAATGCCTGTTATCACTACTTCTATTCATCATTATCCTGTGTAAAATGAGCAAAAGACAGAAACCAGATACTTTCAGAGGATATGACTGAACACATGAAAATATGTTTAATCTCATAAGTGATTGAGACTACAATGAATACCATTTTAGATTGAAAAATTAAGAAATGTTATGGCTATGTGGTTGAGCATCGGCCTACGAACGAGGAAGTCACAGTTTGATTCCTGATCAGGCACATGCCTGGATTTCAGGCTCGATCCCCAGTAGGGGATGTGCAGGAGGCAGCCAATCAATGATTCTCACTGATGTTTCTATTGCTCCCTCTCCCTCTTCCTCTCTGAAATCAATTTTAAAAAAAAGACATCTATAGGTGGGATTGTAAACTGATAGATTGGAAAGCAATTTGACATTGTCTTGTAAAGTTAAGCATTCACATATTCTAATACCTAACTATTCTACATATATACCCTAGAGAAATTCATGCATATGTGCATAGGAGTGCAAGTGAGAATGTTCAAGGCATCCCTATTTGCAACCACCCAAATGTCCATCAACAAGAGAATAAAAAATAAATTGTGGGTTTTGTATTCAAGGTCTGATGTTTACTGGCAGTGTGACCTTGGGCAAGTTACTTAACCCTCCTGTATCTCTGTTTCTCATCTGTAAAATGGAGATAATGGTATCTATCTCATAGAATTGAGTATTAAATTACTTTGTATATATCAGGCATGTAGAGCAGTGCCTGATATGAAGCAAACATTCAATAAACATGAGCAGCTATTGAAAGAAAATTGTGTGTTTTATAATTTTATTTAGCAGGGAGAATTACCGAAAAATAAAGTGATAATTAAATCCAGTCTCAGAAGCCTACATGTAGTGTGATACAATTATTACAAAGCTTAAAAACAAGCACATTTAGCCCTGGCCAGTGTCACTCAATGGTTAGAACGTCACTTGCATGGAAGGGTTGTGGGTTTGATCCTGGGTCCCAGTCCACGCACATGCAGGAGGCAACCAATCTCTCCCACTTTCTCTTCCTTTTCCTCTCTGTCTCTCTTTCTCTCACTTTCTCTCCTCCTCCCCCTCCCACCCTCCCTTTCACTCTAAAAATCAATGGAAAGTCTGGCTGGTGTGGCTCAGTGGTTGAGTGTTGACCTATAAACCATGAGGTCACAGTTTGATTCTCGGTCAGGACACATGCCCAGGTTGTGGGCTCAATCCCCAGTGTCGCAGGACTGCAGGGTTGACAGGCAGCTATTTCTGTTTGCTCTGCCCTGGTGATTCCCTGAGACCCCACCCCATCCAATTTGCAGCCTCACCCAACCTGTGTGCAGTGGCTTTTGCATATGAATGGCCTGTCCTTGCTCAGGCTTCAGACTTGGCTAAAATCTCTCAAACAAGCAGCAGCTGGGCCAAAGAGCCCCAAACCTATCAATAAAAGGCCCAAGATCTAGCACTAGCACCAGCCTGCCTTGCTTCACAGCTGGGTCTTGCCTGGGCACTTCTAAACCAGATACAAATAGAAGGAATATGCAGGTTGCTCTGTAGCTCCTGCCTGGTGGCCCCAGGCAGTGGCTGACTTTGCACCTCCCTGAAGACCTAAGAGCCAGTGCACTCAGTGGCCAGGGTCAGACCATAGAAGATTACAACTCTCCACATCCACAAGCAACATATTCAAGGGGCTGACTTAATGAGCACCAAAGTCCCACTGAAGCAAGCCCTGCTCCATAGGGGTGTCTCCTGCATATCAGTTCTCCCACTGTTGTTGCAGTTGGTCCTCACAGCCAATTGGCCTGGAGGTCAATTCTTCCCAGTGACACCAACAGCAATCAAATTTCAACTACAACAAG